CCAAAACCACCAATTCCTAATTAAACCCTTTATAAAACATTGCTCCTAAACAAATTTTCAAGGTAGTAGACCAGGAAGGCACCTGATCCTCAATAATAGATTTGTTTTTGGGTTCTCAATTGTGAAAAGTTTTTTCCACTGGAAAAAATTGCTCGTGTAATCTTCCTTTCCTTAGCTCCTAAGGCGAATGATTATGATTCATTAGCTGATGTAGTTTTCTTTAGGTTTCTTCAAAACTGACAGCTTTCTCACAGGAATTCTCACAGGAATCCAGATTTGTTTTGGTGGTAGTTTATTATAGGGGGTCCTCTGTTCGTTTGAGGTAGGGCGGGGGGGGACCCCCGTTTACTAATCAGGATCCAACATTACCTTAGAACCTCAGGAGACAATGGCCACACTTCAGCAGCAAGTGCGGCTCCTGGCTGAGAAGCAGTCCGAGGCTTTGGAAGCCAAGGTGGGTAGACACCGCGAACGTGAGCGACACCCAGGGTGACTCGAGTGGGAAAGATCTACGCCACAAGATCCCAAAGATCAGATTTGCCTATGCCCTGGAGGCTTGGAGTGTTTGGATGTATATGGTTTGGAGATAGCTCATCGCCTTGGAAGAAACCGCTTCAGAGGTCAAACAAAGCAAAGCCTTGCGGCCCAATCCGGCCGCAGGAAAAGAACAGACTGGGGGTACATTTTGTCCATGAACTGAAGCAACGGTGCATCTACGACGAATGTATTGCATCAACCAAATTGTCAGAGTCGTTCAGATTTGAGGATGGGTTTGGACTGGGCAGCAGTTGCAGCAGAGGAGCTTCATCCACCTACAGTGATCTAGAGTGCAATTGTATCGATATGATGGCTCACTTTCGCACGACCAGACCAAAACCTGCAGGTCCTGGGGTCTTACTTTGAAGCCACAGCCATTTTTGTGTGCAATATTATTGCTCACCCAAAATCCCAAGTCCAAGGAACAGCTCTCAACGCTAGGACGCAGCTTTGAAAGAGTCTTTGCAAGTGGAGGCTGCAGGCAGGCAGCGCGAGGCAGATGAGAATCTGCGGAAATTTCAGGAGAATGTGGGTGTGAATCTGGCTGTTTTGGAAGCTTTCTCTGGATGCCGCTGTGGGATTGGTAGGGAGAACGTGTTTTCACAAAGCACCGACCCCGGCCATGACCGACCCCTCTCCAAATGCATCGCAGGAGCTTCGTCAGCTGATCCATGAGGAGTCGAACCTCCGCAGCAGTGCCCTGGAGCGCCAAGCAGCACAGCTGGCGCAGCTGGAGCAGCGCCTCACCTCCGAGACCAGCGCCCGGAAGGCGGAGAGTTGTGGGTCGTGAGCCGATGTGAGCTGATGTGAGCTTGGAAAGGGGTGGCCGGAAAGATCTATGGCTTGGAATGTGGAAACAGATTGAGAGGTTTTAGATTCTACAGGCGCAGCAATAGGAGGCTTGAAGATCGCTCAGAGACTCGCGGAGATTGGCTGGTAGACTCGCCAACTAAACCTCATGCTAACCTCATTGGCTGCACACCTCAGCGACCTTGCACCACCCTGGCCTGGCCGTCCCTCGTTCTTTTTGTTGGTCTAGTCCATGGAAGCAAGACGCGTTTCAAACGACACGCCGACGGCCGACCCTTGAAAGTGCTCGAAGTTCGGAGATTTGGCTATAGAACTCCTGCTATAGAAATTTGCCTTGACGCAGTCACCATGTGATGTTTGTTTCTCCATATGCACACCTTTGCAGTTATGTTGAACCTGTGCACTCGGCTGTAGATTAGATGTTCCGCTCAGGACAGCATCCAAAACAGTGTGGGCTGGTTTGCTTGTTCCCTGTAGCTACACTGTTGCTGTTGAGGTGGACACCTTTCTTCAGGTCCTCTGTGTGTGTGTGGTGCGCTTGCAATGATCATGGCTTGAACAAGCACAGGGGTGATAGCAGTTGTTCCTTTTCGGTGCGTTACCGGTTGGCAACCAGGATCTGCAGGCACAACATGAGGCGGTCTTCGCGAAGATGGGGCAGGAGGGGGTCCAGAAGGACATTCATTGTGGAGATGGAGAGGGGGAGAGGGAGAGGAGTATTCAGATAATTACTGTAAACTATACAGTAATATCTATTTGACGTGGATTGGATTACCTGTTTGAGAAGAATGCATCCAAGTGATTAGTACCAGAGTTTGCGACGGAATAGTCGCAACATTAAAGGGTGTGTAGTGTGCAGGTCTCCGTGGAGTTTCTACAGATTCTTGCAAGCACTTGGTTATGGGCCTGTGCAATTTTTGTGGAAGGAGTAAGGAGGGCATGTACTAATGAGAGGACATCGGGATCCAGATCCAGTTGCAAAAATGCCCCATGCACACCGGAAGGCCACGAACATGGATAGCTGTTCAGGCCACTAGGGTGTTGAGTTCACTTTGTTCAGCCTACTCAGGCTAGTAGTTCCTTGGCCCATGAGTATTGAAGGTCCGCAAAGGGCGGCTACTCAGCCCAAAAAGTCGATGACCGAGTAACCTTCGGTCACCTCCTTTCGGACCCATTCAGACCCATTCGGCCTTACCGCCTTTCTGACTGGATCACGCTCCAGCCACTGGATCACGCTCGAGTCCCAATCGCTGGTCAATTCACACTCCTCATTCCACATCTCTTCGCAGTTGGTGAACTCCCCTCCGTCTTCCCGGAGATGGTGCCGCATTGGTCGCCCTTCTCGGAATCCACTGACTTTCTGCTGCAGCGAAGGAGATCCAACAGTTGGAGTCGAAAATGGCCACCTTCGTACCTTCCATGCAAAGTTCCCTGGCCGACGCCAATGCCAAAATTGAGGCCGAGCAGGCCGCCCGAGCCGCAGGCGCGATCGAAAACGGGCAGACGGAAGCAGGTCCAACATCACTGGTTGCTTTGGTTGCTTTTACTTCCATGAGGAGGTCTACATGGACATTGGGCACATCGTTTGAGGATGGGCACCTCCCTTTGGTTCGATGTTCCAGGCGTTGAACGGCTCCAGTCGGCCGTGGACTCCTTGAACCAAGAGATCAAGGTCGGCGGTGCCGTTTCGCGGAGTTGTTCGGTCGGAGGAGCGGTGCCAAAGGGGCGCGAGGAGCGCCGACGAAGACCCTCGGAATCGGCTCAATGGCCGAACTTTGCACATCAACGACCGGGCTCAAGTTCGACTATAGACGACTGGAAAGTCGACATGACTTCGGAGACGATTCGATGTTTTTTTGTGTTTCTCTCCGCGTTGTGGCACTCCGGGAGAAGCTGATGTAGCTGGATGATGCTGGATGGCGTTAAACATGCCTGTATCCAGAGCATTTGGTCATGGCATAGACATCCTAAATTTTGCACTCGACCTCTAAGATCTCTAAGCACGAACCACAGATGCCGTACAGTCTTTAAATAACTTCCTGACGGGATGGGTATCTCATCTAGCTATTGATATGCTGCTACTCAGACAAAGGCATATGCTAGGGAACCGGTCGGTTTAAACGGGGTCAATTTGTTCCGGCCAAGCTGGGTGGGAGAGGGGTTGGTGATGCACACTCGATTCATGTCCCTGTGAACGGAGGAAAAGAACAGGGTCAGGCGCTCACACTTAGTTGCAGATTTGGGGAACTAATCGAAGATAATCGAAGTCATTTGACAACCATGCTTCCATTTGGCTTTGTAATTCCACCAGTTGATCTTTGGACTGCCGAGAATGGCCTCAAAAGTATTTTGAATGCGTTTGCAGATGCATCTCTAAGTTGACGCGGGGCCACGCCACGCCAGGCGCTGCCAGTGTTACAGGAGCGGCTCTCACAGGTGGAAGCATCCTTCACCGCGCAGCTGTCGGAGGCCACGGAGGCCTCCATGGCGCGAGATCAAAAGCTGGAGGACCGGAGTGAAGAGGGTTACCGGCGTGTTGCTAATGGGGGCAGGCAAGTGGGCAGGCAGTGTTCACAGAGAAACTCGCCCACCTCCGAAGACGGACCCCACTGGACCTTCTGGGCGACGGCGAGTTTCCTTCTTTCAAGCCAATGTGGAGAAGCCATTTTGGTGTTCAAATCATAGTTGGATTTTTTAGTGCCATGATTTTGTTTTCATGGCATCCCAAATCATCATAGTTGGTTCTTTTGGTTAGCAGGCTCACATGGGGGAGAACGGAATATATAGTATGGAGTAGTTCAGGTTGGGCAAGCTGTGACCAGCTGGGGCTTACGGAAGACTATGCAGTTCCCAAAGGCGTTGGTAGAAAAAGAATGAAAAAGACCCGCGCATGCCGGTGTTGTTTGTTCTTTTTTAACGTTTACGTTGGCTGGAATGGTCAGATTTGGTCGATCAACTGGAATGCCACGGCAAGGCTTCCTGGCAGAATATGATTTGTAATTTATAGATGTTTGAGACCATTGGCGATGGCACCCACAGTTGACCATGCCAAACTGTTCGGATGGGATCCCTCCAGGATTCGCTCCAGCAGCTGCTTGGATCTCCCCGAGTCATGCGATTGGGAAACTGTTTGATTTTGTGATCTTGTCGTCTCCGGGCGTCTCCGGGATCAATTGCCTTCTATAGCCTTACTTGGATGTGGTAGAGGAGAGGGCAGATGCTGCTTGCCAGGAGCACATTGGGGAGGCCATAAGTGGTGACAAATGTTTCTATACCTTTGTCCCGCACCTGGTGTGGGTTTTGTTGATGCAACCATTTGCCACCACCAAGTGTGCACCTCCCACATGGACGTCTGACGCGTTTCAATTCAAATGAATCACTTTTCCACAAAACCATGGAACTTTGTTGCCCATTTGATCCGCTCTCGATGGCCCCAAGGCTTACTTTGCAGCTGGAAGAGGAGACCACCGACCGGAAACAAAGCGAGCAGCGAGCCGCCGGCATGCTCAGCAGCATCCAGGCGCCATTCGTTTCGTCGAGCGCCAAAGGGAGCACACGCCCGGAGTTGAGCGGCAAAACATGGCAAAACGCACGTGCGGAGCTGCAAAAACGTGGCTGGGAAGGATCAGGAGGAGGAGAGTATCGAACATTTTAAATTTTAAGAGGTTGTGGTGGCTGTGGATCGTGCAATTGCTGCCTTTGCATGATTGATTTATATTGTACAATTACTTTCAGGTGTCCATCCATCCCAAAACGAACAAGCATGTATACTGTATGATGATCAAAACAAGTTGAGAAAGACAAGGAAATTGAACAGCTAGGATACGGAACCTGTTCGTAAACGAAAGTAGGCTGTTGCATTTCCGCTTGACTGGTTGATTATATAGTATATATGTAGAGCAACTATCGACCTCCAAAGTGCACATTGCAATCTGCTGCGCCAACTGCTCGCTGGCACTGCTGTCACTGCAGGTGGCCATGGGTCGCGAGCAGCGCGCTCGGGAGGCGGCGTACAACGAGGCGAACCGCGTGCTGGGTGTTCTGGAGACGCGTTTGGAGGGCAACGAGAAGAGCTTGCAGGACGATCGAGTCGCTGGATTTGGTTTGGAGATCGGCGATGGACAAATAGCCCATAGTTGACAAGGCAGATGATTACAGATATTACAGTGGTTTGTGGATTGGTTGAATTCAATTTGGACGTTGCAGCATAAGCTGCAGCATTCCGGGGTTCGGAATTAGTCCTGCGGCACTTGGACCCCCCAAAAGCACTCGATGTTTGAGCGAACGTAACTTCCACCTCCAACAGTGGGAATCTTCAGCTCAGGATGATGCAGATCATGCGGCCACAGGATGAAGGAACCTCATCGACCAAGAGTAGATTGGTCCACATCGTCCACGCCCACACCTTCCGGGGGTCCCCGACGTGTTTTTTGTTTGCCTTTGTTCACAACTTATCACCCTTCAATGTTTAATTGCAACGATCCGCATGCACATGCCAATGGCCTTTTTCTCTCTTCTCCTTTGGCTCCACCAGAGGTTCCAACATGATGTGGGTGATAGTGAGGGGGTGTGATAGGTTGTCTGGTCTGGTGTCATTGACACCGCTCTTTTTTTAAAGATCTGATCTTGTGGGGCAGGGGTTACGAATCCGATGTTCACATTAGGGTTAAGGCGTGTTATGGTTGTCGCTCCATATTGCTCCATCAAACAGTCCTAGGCTACCCAGGTGTTCGGAAGTTTGTGCAGTGCTGAATTCGATGCTCAACGGTTCTTTTGTTCGGTTCTTTTGGGCTCGCCCACTCCTCCGTTCTGGTCGGCTTCCCCGTGGACCCTCTCCGACTTCGCCACTTCCAGGACTTGAGCGCCTTGCTGAAAGCCGAGGTGGCTCAGCTGGAGGAGACGTACTCCAAGTTTGCCAGCCAGGAGCAGGCACCCGAAACGGCTATTTTTCTTGCGGGCACGTGGATGTGTCGGCGGCTGTCTTTTCCTCATGCAGCAAGCATTTTTGTTGGGTGGCCTGGCTTGCGCACGTAGAATAACCGTGATATGCAGGCCAGTTGATGGACAAAAAGTCCTGTACCACTGGCTCAGCAGTTCAGCAGAATGATGTCATGCAGGTTCTGCAGGCTCTCACCAAAAGCTCAGTGGTTACTTAAAGTGTTGCATAGTAGTCACAGTGGCTTTCTCCACTGGCTCCACCCCAAGGGATAGTTTGGCCTCCAATTCTTCGTAGCCTTTGGCCAGTCAAGCTCTCCATGCTTTCCTTCTCAAGACCACCACCTCGCTCCCGCGCTCTGCGCGCCTCGCCAGGCCGCGCGCGAGGCCTTGGGGAAGAGCTTGGAACAGCAGCAGCTGAAGCGTCACGAGGCGCTCGCGGAGGAGCTGCGCCGGAACTACGCTGCCCAAACCGAGGAAAGCCGCAGGCGACGGCGGACCTGGAGAAAGACACAGAACTGATGAGGTTTCGTTGGTCTATGGGGCAGGACGGCAGGACTGATGGTTCTACGATTCTATGATGTTCTAGTTCTGTTTGTGAGCAACTTAGCGGCCAGTTTGCTGACGCTCCCCGAAACAAATCAGAAACAACACCTGTTTGGCATTTGGAAAACTATAGGGGCCATGCCATCCACTTCCGAACCATGATTCCAGTTTGATATCCCCGAAATCGCACTCCCTGGCTCAACCTGCTTGTGGTTTTGGCCCCTGAGATGTGACCACCATGTCCGAGACGAACATGGCCAGTCGATGGACCATGTTTGATGAACATAATCTCTTGGAAGACTATGTTTATTAATATATATATATATATATTAATATATAGACCCTATAGAAAAGTAAAATCCTTTTCAACACGCTTTGGAAACCGTGCCACCATCTATTTGGGGACCACAAGAGAAGACCCATCGCCATTCCCAACCACCAAGACCGAGTCTGGAACTCACCCCAGCCATGCTGCGCTGCGCCCTATCCCGCCCTCCCAGGTGGGCACAGACCTTAGTGGAGCGGCTGAGCAATGACCTACGGGGAGAAAGAGAGGCTCTCTTCCAGGACGGGACGTGAGGCTCGGTGTGAGTGAGTTGGGTAAGTGGCTGGGGGACTAAGTGATCTAGGGGCGACCCTTTTGTGTGACCCATTGGAGAAGGTGATTGAGGCTGTGAGCTAAGATTCCTGGAGAGTACGTCCCTATCTTCTCACGTTCCGACCTTCTCTGAGGGCGTGTGGATCCATCATTAGGGAGTTATAGTGGGAGTTATATATTTCTTGCTGACCATCCACAGGGGAGGCTCAGGCACCAAAAGGCACAGAGGCACATCCCTTTCAGGAAAATTGTAATTACATCACATGTTCGCAAGCTGTTCATTAAGTAGCTCCACTCCTCATTTCAACAACTCCAGCTCCCAGACATTCCATGCCACTATCTCTCCAGGTGCCCGTTGGTCAATTACACCACACCGTCCTGTTCATTGCGGTGAGCAACTCCACAGAAACTCACCCGGACATCGAAAAGTGGGTTTGGACTGACCAAATCATCCATTTGTGCAATTTGAATTTACACCATGATGCAAATGTACGGCCTACATGACACACATAACCACGGAGACTGCCCAAAGGTCACTACCTAGGTTTTAATGAGCTTCCAGAAGCATTGTTGGGGTTGGGGGTGGATCCCAAGCATGAAGTAGAGTGGTGGCGATGTTAGCTTGTTTGTATAGAAAGCTGACCGATCTTAGCTTGGATCTCTTGTCCAAATGATGAGGATCACCGACCCATTCATGTTTAGCGACAACACTTCACTGGCTCGCCCCAGGCAGACACGACCAACATGTATGGTCATCCTCAAACGGAATGTGTATGGAAGAATGGCGCACACACACACTCACACACACATGTGTGTATGTATATACTGTATATACATATATATACAGGGGCACGGATGACTTATGCTTTAGGCCCTGAACTGATATAGTAATAGGTGTTGTGGCATTCTTTTGCAAAAGGCCTATGTCATGGTGTCTTGTTTGCTCCAGACATGCCCCAACTGGCCTGATGAGATAGAACTTGTGGAAGGTGGATGGGCCAAAATATGCAAAAAGACAAAGGAAAAGACACACGAATGACCGGCCTGCACGCAATGTCGCGACTTAGGCAGCCTTTTTCACTTGTCCCTGAGGGTATACACATCATTTTCCCATCTTCTCGCAGCTTGCTCCGAATTCGGCGAGCGAGCCGCGCAGGAGCTGAACCGCCGCTGCGATGAGGTGGCGAAGCTCAATGCAGAGCATATCCGCTTGGAGATGGCGTCTGAGGTCGGACTTGGGCGGTGAGAAGAACGCTGCGTTCTTCGGACGGGGGTGTTTCACCTATTGGATGGATGGGTACGTGAACTGAAAAATCAGGCATGTTCATGGTTCCTGCAATTATGAACTATCCCGTGCACAGGTTTGATCCTCAATTCACTCATCATGAACAGACGATATACTGCTATATACTCCCCCCAGTGCCACCTCCAGGTGCAGAAGGTGGACGCCCAGACTGCAGAGCTGTTGGCCAAGCAGAAGGCAGTGCTGGAAGAAGAGAAGCGCCACTTGGCGACCGACCCGTCTCCCCTGCAGCTCGGAACCGTCAACTGCAGGTGGCGCTGGCAAGTGACTAACCCCCACTGGCAAGTGCATGGCCGGAGGGTAGTAAGCTGAACTTCCTCATCAAAGTAGGAAGCTTGAACCCTGGAGGGTGCGCCACAGTGTGCGCCACCAGGAAGCCAAGAGAACGGCCCAGTTCTAGACCCCTGGGTCATTGTACATCGTCATATTATTAGATAGATACTTAAATATAAATATATATATTTACAACATGTTCCACACCAAAATGTGCATACAGGGAAGCAGCCTCATGACTTTGGAGTGGCCCAGCTCTCACATGTTTTGTTTTTGAACTTACCATGGCTTTTGGTGGTTGAGAAGAAGAATCCCTTGCTTCTTGAAAACCATACCGTTTCAGTTCCTTTTGTTTGGTGTTATTTTGCGTTGGAGGATGGTTTCAGATGATCTTCACGGTCTCCCCGACCGCATGTCGCCGGAGTGGACAAGTTGGTGGACCGCATGTCTTCCAGACAAGTTGGTGGACCGCAACCGCCAGATCTCTGGTGGGTTTGGGCGAGTTCAGTTTTTTCACCAGATATGCATCAGTTTTTTCAGACTCTTGATTAATACACCCCCATACAAAGAGGATTTCCAGTTCAACTGGGTGGGTTTGTTAATCAAGCGACTAATTACTTTTCTTGGCCTGGACTCCCGGCACACCACCCAAAAAGTCCAAAGTACCAGTTACCACTCCTCCCAGTGTTGAGGCCACTACGAGCACCAAGCCTCAGTGGCAGCGCAGGAGGCCGGAACCTGCTTGGGTTCATACGGTCGCACTTCACCCCTTGTTTGGCAAAAAAGAAGCGGAGAGCCAGCAAGTTGCTTGATGTCCAGAATCCCTGTCATCCAAAGCTTGTTAGATCATGGTTTTGGTAAATCAGAGTAGGTGTTCCATACCTACTAAGGAGGCATGCTCATGGACCCTCTTGCCATTTTGCTGAGATGGACTTTGGAAACTTATTGGCACAAAGCACTAGGTGGATGTGTTTCTACTTCCGGTGCTGTAGATCTTTTACTTTCAAATCTCACGTTGCGCGACCCTATTTCAGTCCCGCGGCTGATAAGCCGGATTTGAAGACACACCAACGCAGTTGTTCAGAGTTGTTCGTTGCACCTGACACCCTATGGCCCAGCTAGACAGACACAGGCAGTCCAAAGCATTGTACACAGCAGGAAACCTGGTTTCAATTCCTCAGCCTTTCCACGCTATCCATGACACCCTGAGATTCGTTGCTCTCCACCGCTCATCCTTCCACACCTGGGCTGCCCTTTTGAATTCGTTCCATTCTCCGTGGATGGAGGTGAAGGCGGCCTTGGACGCCCATGGAGAATTCGCAGAAGCCTTGGAGGCAGAGCAACGCCTCATCGTCTCGCGGCTCACCGAGCAGCTGCAGCGTGAGGGCGCCGCCAGGCAAGAACGCCGAGTTCGCCGAACGCTGGGCGTCTAGTTGATGATGTTGATGTAAAGCTCCGACACTGAGCCAGGCTCAGACCATGCCCAAACTGCTAAGTAGCATGATTCAGCATCGAAAGGCCTTGAAGCTGGTGATGGACCCTCACCAAATTTGATCCATAAAGTCATAGAGTCAACCGGAGGCAATGATCCGATATGGGCATTCCATGATGTTTTCTTTGCTATTGCGTGGGCGATGATCCGTGTGTGCTCAGCCTTCCTGGCGCTGAAGAACCTATACAAGATCAAAGACTTATTCTTGATGACGATTGTGTGTGTGCGCAGTCTTAACAGTCTTAACAACAAACCCAGCTACTCGCTGCTTTGTCCCAGAGCCCCCCATGGAAGAAACCGTGTGTGGCCAGACATGAGCTAATGACGCGCTTGGGAGTTGTGAGCTCAGCGGGTCGATTTGGGAAGAAGAAATCGTTTCTCTCCACTCATCGAACAAGAACGAAGACGCTACTAGTAGTAACATGGATGCTACTAGTAGCTCCTGGCGTTACTGCTAGTAACAAGAAGATACTAGTAACAAGGTGCATCGCAACTGACTAGTAGCAAGACTATAGCGCTGGATTGGGACGAGGTTCGGGGTTTCTGGTTTCTTTTCCCCATTCCCAACGAAGTAGTTAGGGCATTTGGGGTGGAAAGAGGCTTTCCCATCACCCAACAATTGTTTTTGGGATCGGACCACTGCACTTGCTGCTACGTTCAAGCCAACCTAAATGAGTGAAAAGCATTCAATGAGGACCGGATCCCATTTGCAAA